TGGGTGGGGGGTGGGTGGGTTGTCCTGGCAGCCCCATCGTCTCTTCTATATTGGGGTTGACAAAGGCTTTCTGGAAGACTGCTTCTTCACTCGCCAGCCTGGAGCATTGTGGGTCACATGGTGCTGCCAGCCTCCCTGACAGATGTTCCCCCTCCCCACTGGCTGCCTAGGGGACCCCAGGAACTAATCCCCATGGCAAAGGCACAGAGGGCTTAGTGCTGGGGAAATCGGGCACCACGTCTGCCAGCCCCTGGGGAGCCTGGGTGAAGCCTGCGGCTCAGAGCCCAGGAAGCTGTCCTGTCCCTGGAACACAGACCCAGAGAGGCACTGGCCAGCCATGGCGGGGCCTCAACTACCTTGCCCTTCCTGAGCCCTCCAGAGAGGTGAGCTGGGGCCAGGCATCCTGGGGTGTGAGTGTGTGTGTGTGTGTGTATGTGTGCGTGTGTGGCATGTGTGTGTGGTATGCGTGTATGTGTGTGTGTGTGGTGCGTGGTACGTGTGTATGTGTGTGTGGTATGTTTGTGTGGTGTGTGATGTGCGCACGCACATGTGGGTGTTTGTGTGGTGTATGTGTGGTGCATGTGGTGCGTGTGTGGTGTGTGGTGTGTGTGTGTAGTATGTGTATGAGTGTGGCGTGTGTGGCATGTGTGTGTTTGTGTGTGGTGTGTGTAGTGTGTGTGGTGTGTGTGTGTGGTGTGCGGATGTGTGTGTGTATGTGTGTGTGTGGTGTGTGTGGTGTATGTGTGGTGTGTGTGTGTGAGGTGTGTATGGTGTGTGTGTATTGTGTGTGTGTATGTGTGTGTGTGGTGTGTGTGGTGTATGTGTGGTGTGTGTGTGTATGAGGTGTGTGTATGGTGTGTGTGTGTTGTGTGTGGTGTATGTGTGTGTGTGTGTATGTGAGGTGTGTGTATAGTGTGTGTGTGGTGTATGTGTGGTGTGTGTGTTGAGTGTGTGTGTGTGTGTGTGGTGTGCGGACGTGTGTGTGTATGTGTGTGTGTGGTGTGCGTGGTGTATGTGTGTGGTGTGTGTATGGTGTGTGTGTGTGTGCGTGGTGTGCGTGGTGTATGTATGGTGTGTGCGTGTATGGGGTGTGGTGCATGTGTGTGGTGTGTGTAGTGTAGTGTGTGTATGTGTGTGGTGCGTGTGGCACATGTGTGTGTAGTATGTGTATGTGTGTGGTGTGTATGTGCGTGTGAGGTGTGTGCGTGTGCGCGTGTGGTGTGTGTGGTGTATGTGTGTGGTGTGTGTGTGTGAGATGTGTGTATGGTGTGTGTGTGGTGTGTGTGTGTGTGTAATCGACTCTTCCGGTTGGGACTGTGGAATTTGAGATGTCCAATGCTAAAGTCAGGACAGACCTGGCAGACCAGAGAGCTGGTCACCCTCCAGGGTCTCTGAGCTGGCCTCTCCTTGCCTTTGAGGTGGGGCTTTGTGAAGGGGAGGGCTTGCTTTGCCCACTTCTCCTCCTAGCATTTCTGTCCCCTTCCTCTCTTTCCAGCCTCACCCCCGGCCATCACTCTCTGCCTTCGCTCCTGTGACTGAACCTCCCACGCAGTGTCTCCTGGGCTGTGGACCTGAATCCTCAGCCAGCCGGGACCTTCCACGCCTTGGAGAGCATGAAGACCCAGGTGAGGCCTGGCTCCACAAGGTTTGCTTCAAATATAAGCCTAGATTGCCCTCAGCACCTTCATCGTCATCCCCGCATTCCTAGAGTGCACCCCTGGCCAGGAAGCTCCGAGTGCTTTGAGCCTATTAGCTAAAGTTCTCAAAACCAGACACGGTTCCTCTTCCTTTTCACATCTCCAGGCCTCTGATCAGAGTGCTCTCTGCTCAGCGGAGCTTTCCTTCCCACCATCCCCCCCCCCCCCAAAGCTGAGCTCACAGGTACCTTGGAGCCCCCAGAGCTCTGTGCCCATGACCTGTGCACATCTGTCTCCCAGGGAAATTATCATAGCAACACTAGCTACCCACCGGTGAGCGGCTTTCAGCATCATCTCATTTACCCTTCACTGAGATTCCATGGGGTGTAGGACAAAGGCCATTCCCATTACGCAGACGAGAAAACTGTGGCTCAAAGAGGTGAAGCCACTTGTCCAAAGGTAGTAAGGGCGAAACAGGAATCAAGCTGTGCTTCGCCTGGGCCCAGAGCCCTGTGTCTGACCACTCTACTGCCCTGCTGGCTCCATAGGAGGTAGCACGGTGCCCAGCACACAGCTTGCTCTTGGGGATTGTTTCTGAACGGATGACTGGACAGGAAGGGCTGTCCCAGAGTGGGCAGTGAGAGGAGAAGGAGGTGAGGGTCTGTGGGCTGGACCACCTGGGAAGGAGCTGGGGTTGCAGTGTTATGGGTGGGGCTGGGAGAGCCTGGTTCTTCCTGAGTTCTCCCCTCTCCCTTCTCCCATTCCCCTCACCCACACCCACACCAGCGAAGGGAGAGGGGAGAGATTCCTAATGGATATTGCAAGTCCAAATGTGAGCAGCTGGTGAGCAGCTTAGAGGTTAGATACTGGCTGCACTTTTGGGTCAATGGGAATAAATCCTGACATTGGAGACAGACGTGTGATGAGGCTGGGCCGCAGAGGAGGGCTACAAGTTGGGGGTGCAGAGGGTGGGGTGGTGCACAGCACAGGGCGACATTCCCAGCACCACCATCTGCTGCCCATGACCACATCATTGTGTTCGTCAGCAGCGCGTTCCTGTACTTAGCTGAGTAGCATCCCACTGCATGGATGTGCCACAGTTTTGTCTATTCATCATCAGTTGAAGGACATTTAGGTTGTTTCCAATCTTCGGAGATTATGAATAAAGAATGGCTTCAGTATGAGTATCGCATTCTAAAGCTGGGAGATACTTCTGAAATCAAACAGGATTTCTAGATGTACATTATCCTCTTCACAAACAGCCCAGCCCTCTCCAGCAGTTGAAGAAATGGAGGCCCTAAGAGGGGAAGGGATGTGTCCAGAATTACAACTGACTCAGGACGATGTAAAGTTCAAAAACACATTTCCTGAGGACGTGCCAGTGCCAGGCGGAGTGCCAGGTGTTGCAGGCATAAAAGCCCTGAAGGAATGATCTTGGTGCTGGAGACACTAGTCACCTGGTCGGGGCCAGACAGAGAAGCCAGGAGTAACCAGTGCAGGTTCCTGTAACAATGCAGTGACGAGTGCGCAGAGAGGAGAGGACCCTGGGGGAGAATGAGGAGGCTTCACAGCTGTCATGGGCTTTCCCACGTTTGTCAGTGGAAAAGGGCAGCCAGAGGGAAGGGCAGGTGCAAAGGCACAGAGGGGAGCAATGCATCAAGGGGCAAAGAGGAAGAGACAGGAACGTTCCATGGAGTTGAAAGGAGAGGACTGACAGGGAGGGATGGACTAGAAACTCAGTGAGACTCTAAATGAAAAAGCCTAGAAAACGGGTGCCAGTATGTCTCAGAGGCAGTATACAAGCCAGTGGGGGTGCTGAGATGACTGATAATTCATATAAAAACAAATAAAATGAAATCATTTCCTTACACTAAAACCAAACATGTTTTTATATGAATGTATAGGAATCTACATTTAAGATCTCTGCGAAAAGGATTTCTTAAGCAAACCCATGCATGCAGACACACACGCACAGCAGACAAAAAAAGACAGTGTTGATAAATTTGATCGGCAACAACCAAAACCATTGCAAAAACCCTCTCTTCAAGAATAACAGTTAACAGGTCTTACAATATGTCGGACAAGATGTATTTTATATGTATTAACTCATTTAATCCTTACAAATTTATGAAGCAAGGGCCATTATCATCTCTATTTTACAGGTAAGGAAGCAGAAGCACAGAGAACTTATAAAGAGCTTTAAGTGAAGAAAATTGAATAGAAAAAAAAAAATAGGCAAAGGATAAAAAAAAAATCCATTCACATAAAAGCAAACCCAAATATAAATAGTAAACACATGAAAAGGCGTTCAACCTTATTAGCAACAGAGAAAATGAAAATTAAAGGTAGCAATGAGAATCACCAGTGGTGGAGTGTAAACTGGAACAACTCTGGAGAGTGCAGGAGAGAATATGGTTAGGATGAAGAAGGCCATGTTACCACCCAGAAATTTCACTCCTACGCATAGTGCTCTCACCTCGAATGTATAAAATTGCCCCCTTTGTAAGGAAGCCTGGCCCATCTCCATGGTCTATTCCACTATGAAGTATATTCATGTAGCAGCATCCTCGATAGAAGTTGAAATGAATAATCCAGAACTATGTGTATCTAAGTGGAAAAAAACAAGTTGCAGAAGGATAATGCAGGAGAATAATATTCGTGTAAGTTTAAAAATGTGCAAAACAATACTATATGCTCTTGATGGATGCGTAAACACAAAGAATAAAAGCATGCATGATGACAAACACCAAGATCAGAAAGGGTGTTTCATCTGGGGACAGGGGAGGAGGTTGAATCTTTGGAGAATTCCCCCTCCATTAGGTAAATCGGCCAGTAGTAGTCAAACAACTACTGCACTAGGGAGAGAGTTGGATCTATGCCATAACAGGCTTGTTCCAAGTGCCTTGGAGGGGACCTGGGTGAAGGGAGTTGCAGAAGGCTTCATGGAAGAGATGTATCACTAAGTATACAGGAGAGAGACAGCAGGCCCAGCAGAAGCAACAGGCTATGCAAAGGTGCAGAGGTGCAGAGGTACATGCATGACGGAGCTGTTGAATGGGTTATACTCGGAAGGACCTTGGTTTCCCAGGTGTAAAACACACACACACACACACACACACACACACACACACACACACACACACATTAGAACTTCCCTGTGGACTCTTCCATTATGTCTGGGTGAACTTCAGGTATAGAAGGGGTCAGGGTGGGGTCCCTCTCTTTCTTCCTCCTGGCTGAGTCCCATGGGAGCTGTGCCCTGTGTCTCCCCCATTCCAGGCTGGCTGGCGGCTCGGCCTGCTGAAAGTAAAGAAGTGGCTTTTCCCAGCTTCCTGCAGCTTCTTCTTTCTGCTCTCTGTGCTCATGACCGGCTGCTTCCTGTGGCAGTACTACCTTCCCAAGCTGAAGACCGGTGAGTGCAGAGACATCCTCGAGTTTCTCCCGCCCCTGTGGGTCCTTGGGGGCTCTGAGCTGCCACTCCTGACACGAGGGTATCGTACGATTTAGACTCACAAGCTCTGGCCTCTAACTGTTCATCTTGGGGCCAGTTGTACGATCTCTCTGTGCCTTGATGCCTTTGTGTATACAATGAGGATCCTAATGCCAACCCCAAACTTGCTGGCTTCAAACGAAGTGATTCACTCTTTCTGTTAGTCTGTGGGCTGGCTGGCAGTTCTGCTGCCCTCTCTCCAATGCAGTGGGAGAGCTGGATCTCTCCTTCCATGTGGATTCTCCCTCTCAAGACCGCTATCCCAGGCTTGTTCAGGAGGGGGCAGTATTCCCAGGGAGCAAAGGCGCATGAAGGCCTAATTTTGGGAAGACCCAGGATCCATGTCCAATTCTACCTCATTCTCAAAGCCAGCCAGAGTCTAGAGTTGGGAGGCGCTAAAAGAATTTATGGCCACAGTGAACTTCCCGTCTAGTCTTGGTTCTGGAGAGTCTCAGGAAGGACTTGGAAAGGATGCAGCTCCTCAAGGTGCTTGGACCCTCACCGCTCCACATGGCTCTTCAGGGGACGAGGAGAGGTCTGGGGGCCGTTGGGATGCCCACACCCTCTTCCCTGAGGTTCCGAGGAAGCCATACAGCCAGACCAAAGCAGAACCAGACATGAATCCCCCATGCCCGAACCCTTGGCTCAGGTGACAGACTGAGTTCTCCCTGTGGTTTTTAGGCCTGACGCCAAAATGGAGCCCCAAGCCCACTTCCCCACCCAAACACATAATCAGAACTGGGGGAAGAGAGACAGATAGCACATGGCTCAGCCTGCCCCGAGCAGGAACCTGTCTAAATCTGCTGACCACACAGAGGGAGGAAGGCGGGCGTGCAAGAGAGAAGGGTTGCCACCAGGAACTCTGGCCTAATGGGTATCTTGAAGGCCAAGCTGCGGGTGGCGTGCGTGCAACTGTCCCCTCTCCTCCAGGCACACCCTGCTCTTTGCTCCTGGATACCCAGGGCTGGTCTCTGCTCCCTGATACTCCTGGTGAGGGTTGCCAGCTGGGAGGGTTGGCCTTTGCCGCCACCTTCCCATCTCTTCTAGAATGCCCTCTAGACCCCTATCCTGATTGCTGTTTCCTTCTCACCATGTGATATTCCCGGCAGGGTCCTTGGGACCAGAGGCGCCCTCTGCCCCTGTGAGGATGTGCCCCCAGCACCCTGAGCCTGTGCCCCTGGCACACCCTCTCCCCGTGTTGAAGGAGGCCCTGGAAAAGGTCAGTATGGCCCAGGAGGGTGGGTGCCAGGCCTGAGTGTTGAAGGGGAGGGCCTCTCTCTGCACTGGACGTGGCACTCATTCATCATGTAATTTCTGAGCACGGACACTGAGCTAGACACCAGGGACATGGCAGAAAGAAGATAGTGTTTTGTTCCTAAGAAGCTACCAGTCGGGAACGAAGGAACAGCGAAGACAATAAACAGTGATAATACAGGGTAAGAGCGAGGACAGGGAAAGTTTAGGGACTGTGGCAGGGGGCACGAAGGAACTGACTTTGGGGTCCGGGAAGGCTTCCGGAGGAAGTGGTGTCTAAGCTGAGATGTGAACAATAGGAGATACCCAGCTGACGGGCATGTGAATAATAAAGGAGCTTGATGGGGGAGGGAGGTGGGTGGAGGCTGTGCTCCAGGTAGAAGGAACAGCATGTGCCAGGGCCCAGAGTCAGCAGAGTAAGTCCCAGGTGCACACAAAGAACTATGAAGCAATTCACTCTGGTGGGGCCATCGATGGAGGGGGGAGAAAGATGAGATTGGAGAGGATGACAGAGGCCACTGCAAAATAATTAAAACAAAACATCCCACAATATAGCTTTTACCACTGAGGATGGTCTAACAGTAGAGGGGCTGTCAGCGGGCTCTAGTCTGTGCCAGTCAGACCCCACCCACTTGGGTCACTCACCTCAGGAGGCATGCAGACAAATGAAACACGATCAGAGAGGTAAGGGCAGCAGCGTGGCGGGGGATTTGAAACTGTCACCCGAGGAACAGCTGAAGGGAAGGAGGCAGACGATTCCACGGGAGAGAAGGTGCAGGCCAGTGCAGAGAGGCACACTCGCTGTCGGCAAACACGTGGGAGGTTTTTGTGAAGGAGAGGGAACAGAGGGTGCTGGGTGGCTCTCAGGGTGGGGGGTCATGGTAATTAATGAAAAAGCAACCATGAACACCACGGCTGCCGTGTAGTGAGCACTTAGTATGTGCTAACCTCTTTGTCAGAATACCTTGTGAGTCACTATCAATAGGGGAGGAAACAGATGTAGAGACACAAAGCTAAGGCAGGGGTAAAAGCTACAGGTAGGCAGAGCCCAACTCAGGATATGCAAAATCACTCAGCAAGGCGATTCATTAAGAACAGGGGCTGGACTTAGCCTGGGATTCTAACTCTGATTCCACGAACCATTAGTCACTTGAGCAAGTCACTTGCATAGTGAGAAAACTAGACTCAGTTTTCTCATCTGTAAAATGGGGAGAAATTACGCACTGACTCATTGTGAGGATTAAATGAGACAGTGTATGAAAATCACTTTATACTGTGCCTAGCACATTCTAAACGTCCAGTATATGTTAGCTGTTGTCATCATCATTACACTCCGTCATTGCAAAGAGTGAGGCATTTTCAATAAATGTTCAGAAGAGAAATTAGGGGCCTTCTAGAAATAGTGAATTCTTCAGCACTAGGGGGTCAGACGAGGCCTACTGGAGGTTTTCTAGGGTAGTGAGTTGCAACCTTTTCTTATCTCATGGCACACAGAAACCAATCACTAAAATTCTGTGGCATACCGAAAACAAATTATTTTTTTTGCCTGGCCAAAAAAAAAAAGGTATAAATTTTGAGTTATTCACACCGCTTGACTACTGTTGTATTGGCTGTTGTCATTTAAATTTGATAATCCAAGAGGAAAAAGGTCAGCACCCCTGACCAAATAGTCAGATAGTGCATATTCTACTTTTTGGAGATATTGCATATTTTTAAAATTCTTGGGCGCATGGGCTGAAAAATTACTATTCTAGGGCATAAGACAAGGGTTTGACTAGATCAATAGTTCTGTTCCCTCCCTCCTTTTACATTTTGCCAAGGAAATGTTTCTTTGAACAAAAATCTCATGAGGAATCCCCACATGTAAAACAGATTCTAGGGGAGCTGCTCTGATTGCAGGCAGAGTGGGGGTCCATGGTATGAGAGCCCAAAGTCTGGAGGCTCACTGGGCTCCTCTCCAGCAACTGGGTGTGGGGGTGGGGGAGAGTGAAGGGGAGCCAGGAAAGGCGACCTGTCTGCAGGGTGTGGTGTGGGCACGGGCAGGGTGTGCAGATGACAAGTGGGGTGAGCCTCCTGCACTTCTCCTGCAAGGTGGAGAGGATCCTGCGCCAGGCACTGTCTGCCCCAGGGCTGGCGGCCATGTCTGCAGTTGTCATCCACAATGACGCCGTGCTCTGGACTGGGAACTTCGGGAAGAAGAATGGCTCCGACCCAGCTTCCGGCCCCCCCAATGAGTACACCATGTATCGGTCAGCCTGGTGACCTGCAGGGTCCTATGGAGGGACGTGGGGTGGGAGAATAGGGGGGACTTAGGAGGTAGGGAAACTCAAGCGAATCATGACTGGGGTTTCCAAGCCCTTCGTTAAGTCTTGATAGTTTTATAGATGAAGAGACTGAGGTCCAGAGAGGACCAGTGAGTGCCCAACGTCACACCACAGAGGTAACAGGCCAGGAAGGAATTGCTTCTGGAGATCTCTTAGCCCCAAACCTCCCTAACTCCAAGAGGCTCCCTGTGTACCCTCCTTCCTTCACGTCCATATGCCCAGGTCCTGGGCTTCTGGCCCCGGTCCCTGCCAATCAGCAGCAGTGGCCCAGATGGAAGTCCCTGGGGACATTCTGCTGCACACATCCCCGCCGAGGTGCTGCCTGCAAGACCCTTAAAGCTTACAATGCAAAGTGAACACATCTGCTCCCAGAGATACAGTGAGGACTGCAGGAGTTCCATTCACAATGCACCTGCTACGGGCCAAGTATGGGACAACAATTATACTTTCTGTGACTTACTGATCACTCACTACCCCCAGGTATCTCGCCAAACATTTTAGGAGCATGCTCTAGTTTAATCCTCTCTACAGCCTGTGAAACAGACAAGGAAGCCGAATCTCAGAAAGTCTAGGACTTGCCCAAGACCACTTAGCCAGTGAGAGGCAGAGGCATGACCCAACCAGGTCTGTCCACAGTGGAAAGGCCTTGGGGGAAGGCCTGCCATTGGGCAGATACTCAGGAATGTCCATTTAGCCCAGCCCTACTGCCTCTGGAATATTCTCAAGCATCCCAAAGCCAGTTATAGAGGCTGGTGGATTTTCATCTGAGACATTAAATAAAGCAGTAGGATTCAGTGCTTTCCTAGAATACTAGAGAATTGGAGGCTGGGGTGCAGGGTAGAGATGGATTGTGGGGCCAAGAGTATGCCCTCTGCACCCCTGTGTCCCCAATATTGTCTAGGATCTCCAGTGTCTCCAAGATCTTTCCAGTCCTCATGCTGTACCGTCTGTGGGAGGAGGGCACCGTAGCCTCCCTGGATGACCCTCTGGAGCGCTATGCCAGCTCCTTCACCATTAACAACCCGCTGGGCATGGCATCAGCCCCCACCCAACAGAGCCTGATGGATGGGCTGGAGGAGGCGGGCCCAGCCCCCAGGCCTTCGCCTGTCACCCTCCGAAGGATGGCCAGCCAGCTCTCAGGTGAATGGTTTTGCACTTACTTTATTTGGCCCCAAATAATTCAGGTGGGGGGAACCGTGGTGCGGACTCTCACTCTCTGCTGCTCCCTGAACTGGCCAATGTCTCCCCATTCTCACTCCTCTCCAGCCACACCGGCTGGGCCATGCTATTCCTCAAACTTTCCAAGACCTTCCTGCCTCAGGAACTTTGCACATGCTGTTCCCTCTGCCTGAGACATTCTTAGAGAAGAATGGCTCCCTCTCTCACCTTCTCCAGGTCTCACCTGCTCAAGGACCACTCTGCAAGGCCTTGGTCTGACCAAATTACTTTCTCTGTAGCATGAATATGTACCTGCTCGTTGTCTGGCCTCTCCACTCACTCCACACAGGCAGGGACTTTGTTCATTACCGATTCCCCAGGACCCAGAACACATGTTGGCACAAAAACAGAAGCTGGAAATCCACCTCTGAACGGATGGATGGAGAGAATCCAAACCCCATGGTTCTTCCAATAGTTTTCACAGCTAATAAACAGAAAAGTCCAAATGGTTAGATAAGTCCAAAGCTGTTTGGCCACTGATCTCAAGAATTTTGTTGAATCAAACTGCTACCTATAGTTGATGATAATTATTTTTTGAGCAGTTGCTATGACCAGACACCATGCTAAGCATTTTATTTTACCCAATCCTCACATCATCCCTATGATAGAGGGATGATTATATATATTATGTCCCTCACATCACAGGTGAGAGGACTGGGGCTTCAGAGGTTTTGTGTCCCACTAAAACACAAGCAGGAGGAGAGTCCATGCTGGACCATTTTTTAAAAAATATTTTATAGATTTTTTACAGAGAGGAAGGGAGAGGGATAGAGAGCTAGAAACATCGATGAGAGAGAATCATCGATCAGCTGCCTCTTGCACACCCACTACCGGGGATGTGCCTGCAACCAAGGTACATGCCCTTGGCCGGAATCGAACCCGGGACCTTTCAGTCCGCAGGGTGACGCTCTATCCACTGAGCCAAACCGGTTTTGGCAATGCTGGACCATTTTTGTTGTTCGGGTGATTCTGTTGTTGTTACCTTTCAACCCATGGAAGGTGGGGAGGGGGGCAGTGCACCCAATGACCCCCCCCTCCCCCATCCACCCTCAGCTAGCCCAGCAGCTCTGACCACTGCTCCTCCCCAGGGCTGCCCCGAAGGCTGCGATCCACTTCGCTGCTGTGGAGGGGCAGCACCCAGGAGGCCCTGAGCCTGCTCAAGGATGATGTGCTGGTGGTGGACCCGGGAACCAGGTGAGGAGTGTGCCTGCCAAAGTTAGGATCCTCCTCAGGATACTCTCCCCTCCCCTCAACCCCCCTACCCTGGAGAGAGACTGCATCCTCTCATCCTGGGTGGTCAGAACCTGAAAAGACCTCGGGGTCACGGAATACAACCCCTATTCCACAGCTGGAAAGACTGAGGCCCAGAGAGGGTGTTACGGCAAGGCAGGTCCCGTTTGAACCTTAAGTTCTTTGCACTCATCAACTCAACACTGATTGAGCACCTATTCTGTGCCCGGAATGTGCTCACCGAGATACAGAAGCAGCAAGTTTACTAGTAACCAGGTTCCTCCGCATGGAATTTGCATTCTTGTGAGTCAACAGCGAGCCTTCTTATCAGTGAACAGATAAACAAGATAAATAGAGATGCTGTCCAGTGCCAGCATGGAAATAAATGGGATGCTGATGGGAGTGGAGAGCTGGGGTGGCTACCGAACAGAGAAGCCCAGCTCAGGGAGCGAGGAGCTGGACAGAGGACAGCTGGCACTCCCCTGCCTCCGGGACACCCTGCCAGGCTTCTTGACCTTTTTTTTTTTTTTTTTTTTTTTTGCAAAAAGGTGCCCTGTTTCTCCAAATGCTGAACCTCATGCCCCACTTCCCCGCGAAAGAAAGGACCCAGGTGATGCTCAGGCATCTGCGAGCTGGAGTCCTCCTTTCAGCTGTGCCACTAACTTGCCATGAGGAGGCACTTGGCCCGTTGGGACCTCACCTTCCTCATCTGGAGAAAAGGGAAGTCAGGCTAGCTCCGTTGGAGTGTTGTCCTGTACACCACAAGGTGGCAGGTTCGATCCCCGGTCAGCGCATATACCAGGTTGTTCAATCCCCGACAGGATGCATATGGAAGGCAACGGATCGATGTTTCTCTAATGGATGTTTCTCTTTTTCTCCCTCTCTTCTCTCTAAAATAAAATTAAAAAAACATAAAAAATTAAGGGAGGTTGGGCTAGAGTTCAGGAATGTCTAAAAGGATTTGTGGATTTTCATCTGTCTTAGCCTTTTTGAAATTGCACCTTCTCTGGGAAAGAAGAGAGACCTCTTACCGAATGCTGGTGTCTGCCATAGCTGGGGAGAAGGGAGGGGAAAACCTGCCCCTTGTTTCTTTATCCTTGAATCACATGATCCCTATAATTCCACCTTGCCCCCGCTTCTCTCCCCAACAGCCTAAGACTCCAGATTTCTGTTTGCTAAAGTAAATCATACTAAAATGTAAAGGACCAATAAGATTTGCTTTACCACTTGCCCAGCCCAGCCCTCCTCCTACTTGCTGTGTGACCCTGGACAAGTCCCTGCCCCTCTCTGGGCCGTCCTTCCTCTCTTCCCAGAATCTGTAGTCTCTGATGGGTCTGACCCCTCTGGGATGCAGTGAAGCAGGTTCCTTCCCTGCCCGATCCAATCCTATGAAACTCTGGGGGCATTTCAGACAGTCTGAGCAGGTCGGAAGGGGCTACTTGGCCGGGCCTGGGAATGCTGCACCCCAGTTTTCCACACACACACACACACACACACACACACACACACACACACACACACACCTCTCGTTCCAGGTGCCATTACAGCACTCTGGCCTTCTCGCTCCTGGCGCACGTCCTAGCGGCCCACACGGCTCAGGGGGACTACCAGCGCTGGCTCTCCGAGCACGTGCTGGAGCCGCTGGGGATGGCAGACACGGGCTTCGACCTCACCCCTCCGGTGCGCGCCCGCCTGGCGGCCGGCTTCTACGGCAGCGGCCGGCCGGCGCCGCTCTACGACCTGGGCTGGTACCGGCCGTCGGGCCAGATGTACTCCACGGCCGCCGACCTGGCCAAGCTGGCCGCGGCGCTCCTGGGCGGCGGGCCCCGGCGGCTCCTGCGGCCCGACACGGCCAGGACGCTGCTGGCGCCGCTGCTGGCCTGCCCCGGCGGCGCCTACTTCGCCCGCGAGACGGGCACCCCGTGGGAGTTCCACGCGCAGCGGGGCTACCGCGTGGCGCGCAAGGACGGCGACCTGGACGGCTACGCCGCCACCTTCTCCCTGGTGCCGCCGCTGCGGCTGGGCCTCGTGCTGCTGCTGGCGGGGCCGCGGCCCCCGGGGCCCGACCTGGTGGCGCGCGCCTACGACGCGCTGCTGCCGGCCCTGGAGCGCGCCCTGCGGGAGGCCGAGCGCCGCCCCGCCCCGCCCCCGAGCGCGCGCCCGTTCGCCGGCTTCTTCACCTTCGCCAACCGCACCTTCTACGAGGTGCGCGCGGCCGGGCCGGCGGGCGAGCTGCGCCTGCGCCAGTTCGGGCGGCGCGCGGAGGCGCTGGTGCCGCCCGCCTTCCGGACGCTGGCGCTGCGCCACGTGCGCGGCCTCGTCTTCCAGCTGCACGTGGCGCGCGAGTTCCCGTGCGCGCTGCCGCTCGGCGACGGCGCCCGGCTCTCGCTCGAGGCCCAGCACGGGCAGCTCGTCCGCTTCTACCCGCTGGACCGCCACGGGCTGTCCCCGGGCTTCGACGTCCCCGGGCTGAACACGTACCGGGTGCTGCGGCTGCTGCGCGAGCCGGTCCTCCAGACCCAGTGACCCGGGCCGCAGCCTCCCCGCCGCGCCCTCCCCCGAACCCAGGGAGCTGACACAGCGGGGTAGGGCCCGGCTGCTCAGAGTGCGGTCCCCGGACTATTCCTTATCCGCGGGAGAGGAAGAACCAAGTACAGAAACTTAGAATAAAGCATTTACATACTTAAAATTATATATATATATGATTTTTTACAGAGAGGAAGGGAGAGGGATAGAGAGTTGGAAACATCTATGAGAAACATTGAATAGCTGACTCCTGCACACCTCCTACTGGGGATGTGCCCAACAACTAAAGTGCATGCCCTTGACCGGAATGGAACCTGGGACCCTTGAATCCGCAGGGCTGTGTTCTATCCACTGAGCCAAACCGGTTAGGGCACTTTTACATATTTTTAACAGCATGCTGACAAAGTACTTTACTTTTGTTTCTGTTGGATCTAAGACAAAATATGGGCTTGTGCTTTGTCTTAAAAAAAAAAAAATTAACCTGCCGAAACCGGTTTGGCTAGAGCGTCGGCCTGCGGGCTGAAAGGTCCCCGGTTCGATTCCGGTCAAGGGCATGTACCTTGGTTGCGGGCATATCTCCAGTAGGGGGCGTGCAAGAGGCAGTTAATCCTGACTCTCTCTTATTGATGTTTCTAACTCTCTGTATCTCTCTCCCTTCCTCTCTGTAAAAAATTAATAAAATATATTTTAAAAAATCAACCTGTGTTACAATTTACATAAAATGAAATGCACACATTATAGAATATAGGGTATAGTTTGGTGATGTTTACAAGTATGTATGCCCACCACCACCATCAAGGTTCAGAACATTCCCATCGACCCCCAAACGTCCTTCCTACTCTGCAGTCAATCCTCTCCCCTGTACCCAGCCCCAGGCAGCCACTGATCTTTCTGTCACTCTAGATTAGTTTTGCCTGTTACAGAATCCCATATGAATGGGATCATACAGTGTAGTCCTTTGTGTCTGTTTTCTTTTGCTCAGCATGATGTTCGGAGGTTCATGCATGTCTTTGTGTGTGCATCTGTAGTTTGTTCCTTTTTATTGCGGAGTAGTAGTAGTCCATTCAAGGGATATATCCCAATTTGTTTATCCATTCACCTGTGGATGAACATTTGGGTTGTTCCATTGTGGCTGTTATTAAAAACAGCATTCCTAAAGAACAAACAAACAAACACAAAAAAGGCATTCCTGTATAATTCTGTAAATACATGCTTCCATTTCTCTTGGTTAACTATCAAGGTGTGTTTGCCATGCAGTTTTCCAAAGCTCTTGTACCACTTTACATTTCCAGCAGCAATATGTGACGGCTCTCTTGCTTCACATCTTTGCAAAATTTTTGCTAAACTGATGGTTGTGAAGTTCTGTTCCCGCACACGCATAACCTCCCTCATTATCAATATTTCCCACTAGAGCCCTAACCGGTTTGGCTCAGTGGAGAGAGCCTGTGGACTCAAGGGTCCCAGGTTCAATTTCCGTCAAGGGCATGTACCTTGATTGCGGGCACATCCCCAGTGAGGGAGTGTGCAGGAGGCAGCTGATTGATGTTTCTCTCTCATCAATGTTTCTAACTCTCTCTCCCTCTCCATCCCTCTCTGTAAAAAATCAATAAAATATATTTAAAAAAATTTCCCTCTAGAATGGTGTATTTGTTACAACTGATGAACCTACATCGACACATCATTATCACCCAAAGTTCACAGTTTACATTAGGGTTCACTCTGTGAGTTTGGTCAAATGTATAATGACATGAGTCTACCATTACAGTATCATGCAGAGTATTTCCACTGCCCCAAAGTCCTTTATGCTTTGCCTATTCATCTCTCCGTCCCCACTTAACTCTGGCAACCACTGATCTTTTCACTGCTTCCATAGTTTTGTCTTCTCCAGAATGTCATAGAGTTGGAATCACACAGTAGGTAGCCTTTTCCGATTGGTCTCTCTCACTGAGTAATATGCATGTCCATTTCCTCCATGTCTTTTGTGGCTGGATAGCTCATTTCTCTTTAGCACTGAGTAGTATTCCATTGTCTGGATGTATCATATTAGTTTATTTATCTGTTCACCTTCAAAGGACATCTTGGCTGCTTCCAAGTTTTAGCAATTATGAATAAAGCTAAACACCCATGTGCATGCTTTTTGTTGACATGAGTTTTTATTTAACTTCTTTGGGTAAATACCAAGGAGCAGAATTGCTGGGTTGATTTGTACGAGTGTGTTTAGTTTTGTTAGAAAACACTACCGAATTGTCCTCCAGAGTGTTGTGTCAGTTTGTGTTTCCATCGGCAACCAATGAGCGTTCCTGTAGCTCCACATTCTCTCCAGCACTTGGTGTTGTCAATGTTCTTGGTTTTGGCCATTTCCCTGATAACCTATGACAGGAAGCCTCTTTTCCTGTGTCTACTTGTGGTCTGTATATCTTCTTGGGTGATGTATCTGTTAAGGTCTTTGGCCCATCTTTTAATTAGGCTGTTTGTTTTCTTATTGTTGAGTGTTAAGAGTTCTTGGTATATTTTGGATAGCAGTCCTTAATTAGATGTGTCTTTTTTAAAAAATATATATATTTTATTGATTTTTCTTATAGAGAGGAAAGGAGAGAGCTAGAAACGTTGATGAGAGAGAAACATCGACCAGCTGCCTCCTGCACACCCCCTACCAGGGATGTGCCCGCAACCAACGTACATGCCCCTGACCGGAATTGAACCTGGGACCCTTCAGTCCGCAGACCGACGCTCTACCGCTGAGCCAAACTGGTTTCGGCGGATGTGTCTTAATTAGATGTGTCTTTTGCAAATGTTTTCCTCTGTCTGTGGTTTTTCTTCTCATTCTCTTGTCACTGTCTTTTGCAGAGCAGAAGTTTTAAATTTTAACAAAGTCTAGCTTATCAATTATTTCCTTCACGGATTGTGCTTTTGGTGTTGTATCTAAAAAGTCGTCACTATATCCGAGGTCAGTTAGGTTTTCTCCTAAGTTATCTCCTAGATGTTTTATTCTTTTATGTTGTACATTTAGGTCTGTATGCAATTTGAGTTAATCTTTGTGAAGGGTGTCTAGGTTTATTGTTTTGCGTGTGATGTTTGTTCCAGTACTGTTTGTTGAAAAGACTATCTTTGTTCCATTGTTTTGCCTTTGCTTCTTTGTCAAAGGTCAGTTGACTATACATATTTTAAACATATTTAAGGCTCTGTGCTATCCTGAAGTAAAGAAACCTAATCAACTTGCCCAAGTCCAAAATTTGCCTGATGTATTTTACCATGAACTGTCCTCAAATGCATCCTCATCCTCTTTCTCCTCCTTCTCCTCCTCCTCCTCCTTTAGCAGAACTTGAACTGACACTTATTGGACATACAGTTATTGAGATCCTATCGTACGTCTGGCATTGTCCTGCTTAAGGAGAACACAGCTGAGTGTATGGCAGACATGGGCCCAGCTCTTTTCCAGCAAAATCTACAGAGTTCATGTTGTACATGCCAAGAACTTGTCATGTTTCATGTCATTTAATCCTTGCCTGTGCTCTAGGACTTAGATGCTATTGCCCCATTTTACAGTCATGAAAATGAGGCTTGCAGCAATTATGTGATGTTTCTACAGAAACTGAGCTAACAGAGCTAAATGACAGGGTTGGTATTCAAACACTAGGACCCCTGACAGCTGAGCTCACTCTTAAACATGAATACGTGTTCTTAGAACACTTGGGAGTTACTGCTGCAATTCAGTGCCCCTTCCCAGCTAAGGCCAAAACCCCACCCCACCCCAGCCCTAACCCCAACCCCAACCCCAGCCCCAACCCCAACCCCAGCCCCCTAGTCCCAGCTTCATCCTTAGTCCTGGAAAACTCCTAGTCATGCTTCACAACACTGCTGAGGACCTATAGGAGTCCCATTTGTTCCCTGGGGAACCTCAGCAAAAATACCAACCAAAGCAAACGAACAAGAAAACCTCGTGAGTCCAAGTGATAGTTTTTACAATTCACATTTATTTTGGGAAAAAAAAAAAGGGTTTGCTAAAAATACTCCTACAAAGGCATTGGAGCAACAGGGTCAGGGGCTCATGGACACAGCTGGTGAGGTTTCCTTGGTCACAGCAGTGGGGGGGTCCAGGTCTGACCCACGACCATCAGAACTCCCGACCCCATCACTTCCCGACCCCCTAACATTATCAGAAGAATCGTGTTTATGACCAGAAGAAACAGGGTTCTGTGAAACCCTGCCAGACTCCCCCCCCCCCCCCCCCCCCCCAGTTGAGAGTTCTGGCCTGATGGCCCAGGCTGGAACTAACACCTAGGGCGGTAGGGGTGGGGTTAGGGGGTAGGGCATGGGGAGTCCAGGACAGCGGCTCAGACAGTGGCTCTGGGAGGTTAGGATGTCCCAGGGCCCCCAAACAGAGTGCCCCCTGAAGATTTGACTGGGTTTCTCTCTCTGGGGCTGAGTGGGGGTCACTGGTAGCAGCATAGCAGAGTGATTCAGAGGCAGGTGCTGGGGTCAGAGACCACTGGCCGACTCTGAGACCTGGGAAAGCCCCCATGCAGATCTCTGAGTTCCCCGGTCTGTGGAGCAGGAATAACTGTACCTGCCTCACAGAGCTGAGTAAGGATTTAGCGAGACCCTGTGTATAAAAAGGTAAGCACGGCCTCTGGCACATGGTTGGCACTCAAGAAATAGCAGCTGTGATTAGGATTTGGGGCTGAGCTTGACCAACCAGTAATTGCTCTTCTCTGTTCTCAAAAGAGGCTGGCTGTGAGGGAGGTTCCTGCCAGGCCTACCCTGGGCCAGCCTCAGGGGCGCCATCTCGTGTCCCCTGCCCACCAGAGTCCCTGGAAGGGAAAGCAGACAGACTGATGACTGAGCTATGAGGAGTCCAGAGGCACCTCCACCGGCTGGCCTCCCAGATCCCATAGGCCAGAGCCTCCTTAGAAAGGGTCAGAGGGCCCTTGGAATGCGGCAGGGACTGTGTGGCCATGACGCTGTAACCAGAGTGGCTCTGGGGTTTGCAGCACGACCTT